ATTATTATTATTATTATTATTATTATTATTATTATTATTATTATTATTAAATAATTTTAATATTTTACAAGAGAATCGGCTGAACCAAATGAAAGAATTGATGACCATTTAGTTGAACAAAATGATGAAATTAAAGGTTCTGCTCTTGATACCTTCCTTGAAGAAATCAAAAATGATTACCAAAATGCCAGTTCACAATATCGTACTGCCTTAGATAAATTTATTGATTGATATCGAGCATCAAAATTGCTTTCAATTTCATGATTAACCTCCTTCCTGTATAACAGTAATCGTAATATAGATTTACCACATGTTAAAAGTAGTGCTATGATCCGTGCTCAAGTTGAATCTGTTAAACGCTGTAAGTTGGAAGGAACCAGCGAAACTAGAAGACTATGTACAATCTCAAACAAACTAAAAGAAACCCTTGATCCTCAAACCATTCCATGCAGAAAAAAGAGAAAGGTTAATAAAAGAAAACATAGCTTAGGCAAGAATGTTGCAAAAAATCAAATGAATTAGTTTTATTGTATTTCAAAGATTTGTACTTTAAAGATATATATTTTGCATTTCGAAGACATATATTTTGCATTTCAAAGAAATATATTTTGTATTTCAAAGATACATATGCTGTAACTGTATCGTGTTAAATTAAACTTAAAAAAATATGCGCGCATTTCTATCTTTAAATTTGTACAGTATTCAATAATTTGCAAAACTAGCGTAGTCATGTGATTTAATTGCGGCTTAGGCCAACTGCGCCATAAACCTAGCACACATTCAAGGGATGCTGGCCTTTAGAATAACCCAAAACCTTTTTCTATCAAAATGTAATTTATCGAATGTCTATACAGTCGTATTTCTTTATAATCACTCAGTACGTTCTATGCAAAAAATGTGATTATAAAAATCCTATTATTATGTGCTTATATAAAGTATTTTTTATAAGGTTATTAATGATTTTTTTAAAAATTTAAGGTGATTATATAGAATTTGTGATTATACAGGTGATTATAGAGGAGTATGACCGTATTTTGATTAATAAAAAATGAATGCATATAAAAATTTTTTGTAGTTTATATTATGCTGAAATTCGGTGCCCAAATTAAATATACAATACTATGTACTAAAATTAACATATGGGGACACCCATAGCAAAAGCAGAAGATAGAATTATATATTATATAGTCGCATCCCCTGCTTTTGCTGTGGCGTCCCCATGTGATTTTATTAATAATCACAAATTTTCATACGTAGTAAGTTAAAAATCTAAAATCTATATACCGTACAGTTTCGAAAATAAGCACCCTTTGTTATATATAATGCTGGCTAAGTTGGGTATAATACGGGCCAGGGATATTGATTTCGTAACGCGGTTTGCCACTGCCTACAGTATTTTCCAAAAATAATATCCCCATGATTAAGACCTAGGTATTATTAACATTATTTGAATCGCCTTAATTAATAACATTAAATTCTCAAGTATTAAATTACTTTTTTTTTAATGATATTTCTATTAAAAGTAAAATATTCAAAAAGCCGATTTACAGATTTTCACTTACATGAAAGTAATATCTACACTATTTAAATTATAAATTTGCCTATCCAAGTTATAAAATACCCTTCTGCTGCGACTTACCACTTAAATATTTTGATACGTATTTTATTTTGAATGCCAAATTACAATTGTATAATTAGAATAATGTTTTATCAGTAAGTTTTCAATAACCATTATACCTTTTTTTTATTTTATATAATTATATACTACAGAGAAGATAAAGTATTTTATATTATTCTTTTTTCGGAGGGGTTTTTTTTTTGTTTTTTTTTTTGTTTTTTAGCTGACAATTGATTATCATCGTTTCTAATATTCAGGAAACTGAACATGCTATAAAGGAATATAAATAAATCAATTATTTTAATCCAAGAAATAATTCAAGATATATACAGATTAATTCATCTACACATGTCTCTTTGCCATTGTATGGTTAAAGTATTATTTGTCCAATATATATTCATCCATGAATATTAATATACATAAACTCTGAATACATATACATAACATACATAAATGAATATACATATATATATTTTAAAAAAAAAAAATCTAATTTTTGCTTTCTTCATGCGTATTTGCATTCCTCATTTGGTTTGCAGGTAAATGGCGATGCAAAACAATTAATACATGAATGGCTGATACAATCAGTCAAAGCTTTGTATTGAGATTTTATTGTTATACCATCAAATATGTTGGAGGTAACCGTCCAATAGTTCGTCCCTCCAATAGGACTGTGAGCTATCATTCTCACGGTCTCCCCATTAATTTGTACATTAATATCATGTGCCCATGATACAACACAGCGTGAAATCCCACAGTAACTATCAGTATTACCTCTTTTACAAGAGTTGCTGTTCGGATAATTGTAACAATTGTTGGAGACAATATCACTAATATTGTAACTATTGTCGTTTATTTTTAATCTAGTAGGACCATCAGTAAAGATTCTCATATTTGACGGACAAAACTTGGATTGCCGAAATTTTGGTGTCAAGCTTAAACACTTAAGATCTGATACAGTAAACATACTTCCATCATTTCTAATAGCATGACAAATAGGTTGATTGGATGAACTTGGATTTGGTGTTGTTGTGACATAGCTCACAGGTGTTGTAACTTTATTCTTTACTTGTGCAGTACTTGACATAGTCCCCATATTTATATCCATAGTAGGTGCTGTGTCCGAAATAGTCCCTGTAATCATGTTCATAGTCGATGTGGTACTCAAAATAATCTTTTTCCTAGTCAATATAGTGTCCGAGATAGTCCCTGTGACCATGTTCATGGTAGATGCTATGTTTGAAATAGGTTTTTCAACTATATACTGAACGGGTGCGATGTATGAATTAGGATCTGCAACTACGTCCATAGTCGGTGCGGTATCTGACATGGTCCATGTAGCCGTATCCATAGTTAACGCAGTGTCTGAAGCAGGATCAGGATCCGCAATTACGTCCATAGTTGGTGTGGTGTCCGACATAGTCCCTGTCATATCCATAGTTAACGCAGTGTCTGAAGCAGGATCAGGATCCGCAATTACGTCCATAGTTGGTGTGGTGTCCGACATA